GAATTGAGCTCGGGTCCTCCGCATGCAAGAGCAGCCAGTGCTCCTAACCGCTGAGCCGTCTCCTGCCATGTGGGTGCTGGGAATTGAACCCGGGTCCTCCGCATGCAAGAGCAGCCAGTGCTCCTAACCGCTGAGCCGTCTCTCCAGCCCAATTTTAACCATTTTTAAGTTCAGTGCATTGTGCATGGTCGCACCATTGTAATGAATTCTCATCTTCCCAAGGTGACTCTGTCCTCACTGACACAGACTTCCCAGCCTACCCAGTCCGACACCCACCTTCTGTCATCTGTCCCTATGGAGCTGAGGACTCTGGGGACCTCATCTGAGTGGAGTCCCATGGGATGAATGCTTCTGTGACTGGCTAACTTCCCAGCATGACATGACATCCTCAGGGTCCATTCGTGTGGTGGCAGGTAGCAGACTCCCTGTCTGAGGCTGAGTGGTGTTCTATCACATGGACCAACCTATAGCTTACCCCTCGAGATGGGTGGGTCCTGGGCCTCCCTCCTTTGCTTTTGGACTGGTTTCCTGAGAGTTCCCGCAACACCAGCTCTTCAGGACCACACCTCTGCTGCTCTCTGAGAACTCTAATCCATCAAAGCTCTGTCTGTCCAGGTTTGTCTGACACGAACTCAGCATGGGGGCAGTGGGGAGAAGGTTACATGACCCAGGCTGCCTGACTCAGATCTGCCAACCCCAGGGAGTGTGAAAGGAGGGGCCTCTGAGCACCTGAACATATTGGTTTGATCAGTAATGGGAATAAATAGGTAGCCCCACGGGGGCATGTGCTGGAGTAAGACCCCAACCACAGATTGGGGAGTCTTAGTCCCTTAGCCACCCTTGGGCAGGGCCCACATGGAAAGGTTGAACCCTTCCAGCTCCTAAGACTCACATTAGACACTGAACTGGGTCCTAGAGTTCCTTCAGTGGAAGTCATGGGGGAAGCCTTGGTCTGGTAAGAGCTGACTGACAATCAGGGATCAGCAGTCCTCCTTGCAAAGACTGCTGGTCATCCAAGCCTCCAAAGTCAAGTTCTCAGAAGTTTCTATGACCTCTCTTCCCAGCTGGGGATCACAGATGTTTCCTTGGGAGGGAACTGTCCCTATCAGCACCCCAGGGTGAGAGGCTGAGGGGAGGAAAGGGTGACCACAAGCCACAGGCTGGGGACCCCTTAAGAGCATGGCTGGAAGCAGGAATGGCCCACAGCTGCTGTCAAAAGGGACAGGCCCTGCCCCATCTAGAGGAGATCAGATGGTCAAAGTGCTGAGAAAAAAAAAAAATAACCGTTGAATGCTTGGCCCTAAATGGGATGTCTATACCATGCCCCCCTCCCCCAAGGCCCAGGGACGGTCACAGATAAAACAGAAACAATGTATGAGACGGGGAGAGGGAGGGGGCTGTGGAATGCCATTTTCTGGTATGCCATGGTTGCACTCTTGAACTTAGAGCAGCTGTGATGACCTGCACAAGATTGAGCCTTTCAACGTCCTGTCACGGAGGAGGGGCCCACTCATCCCTAAGAACCCGAAAGCAGGTAAGAGTTGCTGGAGGAGACAACATTATCTTCCATGGGAAGTTGCTTACATTCCTGTAAGTAACCCTTCACCCATTTCTGTAAGCAACCCTAATGAAACTCACAAGGTACACACACACACACACACACACACACACACACACACACACACCCCAAAGGCATGAAAGTCAGGGGTGTTAGTTGAGAAGAGGAAGATCAGTGAGAGGGAGACAAGAGGGTAATGGGGTGAATATCACCAAAATATATTATGTACATGTGTGAAAATGTTATAGCGCAGCTTACTATTATAGATAATATATGCTAATAAAGAGACCAGAACATGGCTGGCTGCTTCTGGCTCAATGTCTGATCCCAGGGAGCCCCAGGATGGAGCCCACGCCACTGAAGTTCTGCTTCACTGCTCCTCGTTCAGCTCTGCCTCAACCCTGCCCCAACGGCAGGCCCGGGCCCTGGGGAAGCAGGCTGCTTTCCTGGAACCCTGTCTATCTCTCGTCCATCTGTCTAGAGCTATTAGTCAATTATGGGTCCCTGGAGGCTGGGACCGGCTTCTCTGCTCAGGGATGCCCGAGTCCAAGGGTGGGAGGGGAGGTCTGGCTCAGTCCCTTGTGCCTCAGCCTGACAGTCTCCCCCCTGGGAACCCCCACAAGCCACGGTCACCCAGCCACTGCCTGTTGCATTGCCGTCTGAGCCACTGGTCTCTTCGGTTCTTTCCAAACTCCAGTACCCAGAGTGACCACAGACACAGGAGGTGGGTAAAGGACCAAAGGTAATGTGATGGTCTTGTGCTCTTTTTGCAAGAGCAGAGACCCCTCTATCCTCCTCATCTCCTGTTCCCTAGACCCTTAAATCTACCTCCTTGTGCCAGAGCCCCGCCCAGGCCTGTGGGGGCCCAGGTTACCTTTTGGCTTTGGGAGCTAAATCAAAAGAGGGCAGGGGGTCGGCTCTCTGCCTCTAACCTGCTGCCCAGTGCTCATCCCTCCCCTCTCCTTAGTGACTGTCCTCTGACAGGTGGTGCGTGCCCTCTCACAGGCAGGGTTGTGACGGCAGGAGAGTGCTGGGGCCAGTTCTGCCTGTTCGGCTCTTCAACCGGCCTCCTGATAGGCATATGTGACTTAGGTGTCATGGGTGGGAGCTGTTGTGAGGTAATCATCATGCCCCCCTATCCCCGACCCTGCACAGGGCTCCCTGGGCCAGCAGCCTGTCGGAGCAGAGCCCTGGGGTCCCACCGATGCGGCAGGCTCTTCTCTGTCACCAGACAAAGGGGCGGAGGTGGTGGTGCTAAATGCAAGACTGCACAGCAAAGGTTCTGAGCACAGCCAGATGTCGTCAGAGGTGTCAGGGTCATGTGTGTGCGTGTGTGTGTGCGTGTGTGTGTGCGTGTGCGTGCGTGCGTGTGTGTGTGTGTGTGTGTGTGTGTGTGTTGGGGATGGATCCCTGGTGGACACTGCATAGCTCTCCTGTTCTCAGAAACTTGATGCCACTGGCACCTGGCAAGGGCGGGTGCCGATTCCTGGGCTCCTGCCAAGAGCCTCATAGTAATAGTTCTAGTTTGCTTTTCTGTCGCTGTGAGAAAACACAAAAGCAACTTGGGGTGTGTGTGTGGGAGGTTTATTCTGGCTTACAAGTCACAGGTCATAATTCATCATTGAAGAAAGTCAGAGGAGGAACTCGGGGCAGGAACCTGGAGGCAGGAACTGAAATGGAGACCAGACCGTGGAGAAACACTGCTTACTGGCCTGCCAGCTGCCATTCCCATATAGCCCAGGCCTACTCACCTAGAGATGACATCAGTCACAGTGGGCTGAGATCTCCCACATCAATCAACAATCAAGAAAATACCCCCATAGACGTGCCCACAGGCCAATGTGATGGAGGAAATTCCCCAACTGAGATTACCCCTTCCCAGGTATGGCTAGGTTTGTGCCAAGTTGACAAACACTATGACATTCCCTGACCCCTCGTAAGGCCACCTGGCCCTCAGCTACTTGGCTGCTGGGGGGCTGGGACCCACCTGGATAGGGGCCTTAGGGCCTTCTGAGTATGCATCCAATGGCCCCTCAAATTCCCTGGCAACCAGGGTGACCATAAATCCACCAGCTGAGTGGATAAAGGCTGGGCAGAGGTACTGACAGCAGGTGTGGAGATGCTGGAGCCAGAGGGAATGGTCTCTAAGCGACTCCACCCAGAGGGTGGGTGTGGATGCACTCACCTGGGTCCCTAGAGCTAGGCTTAGCATTGGAATGGGGGAGGCAGGCTTGGTATCCTCTTCCCAAGCCTGTGACTTCATACCTTGGGCATTTTGGTAGAGACAGTGTAGTGTTGGGGCTCCCATAAGAGATGGCTCTGGGTGACCCTAAACCAGTATCCCATTTCAGTCCAGAGGTCCATTATAGAGACTGTGCCTACTCTTTGAGACAAGTGACCATGCTGCTTTGGCCAGGGCTCCAGGGGACCTTCTGGAAATAACACTTATGACACAGTCCTACCAGCTCTTAATGAGGCCAAGAACCAAATGAGCTAAGAAATCTACACTAACTCCGTAGAGCAGGTGCTGTGAAGCCTCTGAAAGGGAGCTAGAGACAGAGAGGGGGTCCTATCAAGGGGCCAGAGTGGCTTTGAGGAGATTCTTGTGGGCACGCTGCAGGGGGGCCCACCATGCAGGGGGAGGGGGTGTCTTCCAGAGCAGGATGCACAGGGCCTGGGCTCAAGGTAAGAGCCCCGCAGCTGCTTCCAGGACCATCTTTAGAGCTAAAGCCAAGTGCCCGCTCACCTGCTCAGGGCCCAGGGAAGAGTCCAGAAGCGTGCTCGAGGATACAGCAGTGGGGCACAGATGAAAGCCACTGCTGGGTTTGAATTCCGGAACCCCAGAACCCCAGCCCAGTCTGCTCCCGGCCAGGGATAAGTTCCACCCACCTGTATTTGCTTCTCTGGCCGCCTGGGGGCAGGCCTGGCCAAGGGGAAGGCACAAAGAGCCACTTGCCTGGTAGGGCAGGTAGGCAAGGTGAGGAGGAGGAGCCACTTTGACAATAATTCATGACCCAGGCTGGGCATGGTGGCACACTCCTATAATCTCCCAGCACTTGGGGTAGAGACAGGAGGGTCAAGAGTTCAAGGTCAGCTTGGTCTACACGGAGACCCTGTCAAACACACACATAACCACCACCAATCAACAAAATAAAACCTCGGGTCAGAAAAGGGGAGACCTGTGTGTCAGGGTAAGAGCCCTATACAAGCAACCCCAGGACATCTTGCCTACTGGTCCTTTTCCTCGTAACTCTAGAGGGATGGGTCAGGTACCCTAAAGCCCCAGTCAGATCTCTTCCCTTCTTTGTGGATAGTGATCAAGGAAGGGACAGTGACAGGGCTCCAGCAACCCTGGATCTGCCCTCCCACAACCAACACCCTTCCTGACTTCTCTGCCAACCTCCCACCCCTATTCCACTGGTCAAGCGAAGCCCACGAAAGCTGGGTTTGAATTGACTTTATTATTCTGTAAATGTGAATTTTACAAAGCGCTTTACAATTAATGATGACATCCTTCTGTCATAGACGTCCACTTTTGCTCTGAGCACAGGCTCACAGCCCTTGGTTTCCCTGGTCGGCTTGCAGACATTGCCGAGGTTTTAGTTATTGATACAATGTTGTCAGCCATGGCTACAAAGTAACAGTCTTGTCACTACGGATCACAGCACAGAAAGGGAGAGAGGAGGATGTGGAGGGACTAAACAAAGGCATCCTCCCGAAAACAACAGAAAGACAGCGTCCTGGCGGCTGTTCCAGCTTCAGTGGTTCTGTGAAGCCCTCCTTAGCGGCAGGGGAGTAACTGGCTTTATTAACTCATACTCTAACAGTCGTGAGTTACAGTACTACTTTTAACCCCTAGACAGAGCCTTCAAAACAACTGTCTCGAGTCTATTTTCCCCAAACATCCCATGGAAGGGATGAATGTTCTACTTGCACCCAGAGCTACCCAGACATTCAAGTCAAAAATATTTATACATTTTATACTTAGTTAATTTTTTTGTCTGCTAAAAATAGTATTGCAAGTTTTGGCTTCTTTTGACATAAAAATCACGATGGTGTGCAAAATGCTAGCAACAAGGCGACTGGCAGAACACAAGCAGGCATCTGACCAGAACGCTTCAGATTCTGCGCCCTTTTCCAAGAAAATAAAACAAAAGCAAAACACCTTTGCCATTTTTGAAACACTGTATACCAAGCCAGGTGCATGGAGCTGGCTGGCTGACGTCACATGGAACCACACAGCAACTATTAGAGGCAGTGGTTAAAGCTGGGACGGCACCACAGGCTCACAGTCCCAGTTTAGGATCCAGGGCAAGCAGACGCCAACAGGTCTCTCTTTCAGCTGGTCAATGGGCTACTAGCCTGTCCCACTTCCACTAAGCCTCACCCTCTTTGGGGAACCCAAGCAGGACATGACATGACAGGGCAGGGCAGGACAGGGGTAGCGCTAGACCTAGAAAGTTCCAGCTGTTAAACCAGGTCAGGACCAGGCACCTCGGAGTCCCCTGGAGGGGACAGGCCCTGCTAGACCGCCGGCCCCTCACAGCTCCTCTCCGCTCTAATCACAAACACCACAGAGCTAGTTTTCCCCGGCCCCGCACTCACACTACGCAGGACTCTCGGGGTCTCCTTGCTTGCCTCTCACCACACCACTGTGTCCACATTCAAGGGCAAAGTAAGACACCGAATCAGACTCAAGCTGAAACAACCAGTGTAGAAAACAAGACACAATTCAAGTACTGAGACCGCCAGCCAGGCAGGCGGTCCTTCTGAGCTCACAGTATCCACCCCGTCTCTCTGGTCCCTTCCTCTGGACCTGTTGCACTCGTCCCAGCTGCCTTGGGTACCATCCGCTCTGGTAGAGCAGAGAGGTGGCTGGATCCTGGGCAGGCCCCCACCTCAGCAGCTCCAATGCTATCCAGTCCAGACTGTCCTTGTGGGAAAGGTGCTGATAAAACTTATAGCTCTACAATAGACTCTACATAGTATATGCGTATTGCTAGTAGTCAAGCTAGGAGTAGAGGGGCAGGCATCTCATAAATACTGAGGCTCTCGTCTACAGGGTCTGGACGAGTTGTGGTCACGCTGGCAGGACAAGACAGCCCCGACTCTGGAATTAGTCATCTTGTAAACAAAGGAGGGGGTGGGGGTCCGGTTTTCTTAATTGGTTTTCCTTGGAAAAAATGATCAAAAGATGCTAAGGCACTCTGGAAGGCCCCTCCGAGCCTAGGCCCGCCACCTGCCAGCCTCTCGGTACATTCAAGGATGCGGAGGGAGCGCCCCCGGCAGGTACAGTCATCGGCCACGCACATATGCAAACGCTCCCCACTACGTCCACCAAGGGACACATTAGTGCAAAACGCTCGGCCTGGCCCGCCCAGGGCGCAGGGAGAGCTCAGAATCCATTCACATTTAATTATTAAGTTTTACCTATAGCTCTTGCCTTCCTTACCCAGAAACAATAAAACAGACGGTGATTATAAACAATTAAGGGACAGAGGGTGAGGGACATTGTGCTAGCCCGGGCAGTGGTCAGGCGTTCTGTGCAGCCACCAGCTCCTCCAGTGGCTAGCGGCACCCTCCCTGTGCTGGCCCAGGGTGGGGGCTGCGCCAATCTCAGAGTGGAGGGATTACAGAGCGCCAGAGAGCCCTTCTGCCACCAGCAGAGACAGGCGGGTCTGACTCCCAAAGGTCCCCAGGGATGGTCAAATTAAAGTGCAAATTTGGGTGAGGGAAGCGGATGAAGGAAGACTGGTACAGCTCCCTTGGGCCTGCAAGCCCCGTGGCCTGCTCCCAGCACCAGGAGAGGATTTGGTCCAGGTCGCTAGTGGGCTTGCTGGGGCTCCAACCCACCTGGGCCTAACGTGGGGCAGGAGAAAGGTGACCGCTGGTTCCAGAACTGGGTAAGAGTCAGCCTCTGGGTTGGCCCCAAGAATACAGGCCTTGGGTCACCAAGGAACAGGTAGAGGGATTCAGGTTAGGCCCCATGGTGCTTGCCCATGATGCCCCTTTCCAAAACCATAGGTCTTTCAGAGGAGTGGGGAGATACATACTTGTATCTGGCACAGTGTGGGAAGGGGTTACTTGGAGGGTGCTAAACCACACCCCAGGCTCCCTACATCATGACCCTTCAGCTGGGGGGAGAATGCCCAGCCTGTGTGCACAAAAGAGGGGTTGGTTCATGGGGCAGCGAGCTCAGGATGGATAGAGAATGGGGAACAATAGACCTTTCAAGTTTGGGAATGGGGAGGGTGATCCTTGGCCATCAGAGTTGCTGGACCCTGCAGGTGGGCAGGCAGTCCCTGGATAAGGGTCCAGGAAGAGACAGTTGGGAAAATGGCCCCTGGAGCACATTCCATGTGAACACTTAAAAGTGATTAAACTCCAGCCTCCAGCCAGCCAGCTGTCCTCACAGCCCCTCCTTCAGGCCCTCCCTTCATGCTTTCCTGACTCTCTAGTTCCCCAATGGGATCCACGCCTATCTGTCACTGCAGCCCAGGCCTGTGTCTGCTGCCCATCCCCTGTAGCCTTGGGTACCCACATGGGTATTCCCAATAGTGTGAGTGATGAATGAGCCCAGAGCCAGTGGCAGCACCCTGCCTAGCAGGGTCTCAGGCCCTCAGCTTGGCCTGCACACATCCTGTGAACTTGGCTGCATATGCCTGGCTGCACTTCCAACGGGAGGCCAGGATGGAGGGACATGGGTATGCACTCACCCCAATCTGTGGTAAGCTGGGGGCAAGGGACACCCATCCCTCACCATTTTTTTTTTTCTATTGGGTCTGAAAATTTCCAAACCACAAATGAAATAGATCGGAACTAAACAAAAATACCAAACAAGGAAAATCCCAGAGTGGCTGGGGAGGTGGAGGGCGGCAGGGGTAGTACCAGCTGCACGTGTGCCCCTGGAGGGACAGGTGACAGCCCATGGGATGGTGGGCAGCCATGGCCAGGGGCAGAGGGGCCCTGGGGGTCAGCAGGCTAGCCCCTGGGGTTCCGGGCGGAGCAGAGCAAGGACATGGGTGTGTGTGGGGGCGGGGAGTGGAGGTCCCCCACTCCCAGGTGACCAGCCACAGCCATGGCTGCAGTGTTATCACTGGTCTCTGAGTACACACATGCATGCACACTCACACACACACACACACACACACGCACGCACGCACACTCACTCTCACACTCACATAGGCGACTTCTCAGGAAGAAGGAAAACTAGAGGAGTTTGGCCCCTGGGGGCCCAGCACTGCCCAGCTGCCCCAGTGGGGTCCCTGTGAGGAAAACGGAGTGTCATAGGTCTGCCTCACCCAGCCGCAGGTCAGTACTGCCCCAATTTCCTCTTCCAGAGCAGGGGGAGTAGGAAGGGTTAGGGGGCAGGGACGGCTGGGCACCGGGGCCTGGCGGCCTCTCCTCCCTCTCCAAGAAGGGGAGGGGGGGCACTACCATGGGAATCTAAGCTGGGGAATATAAAAAAGTGGCCTGGGACCTTTCTCCCAGGGTGTGGCCAGTGGCCTAAATGTTTACAGTATAATGAATGCGTTTGTCTCCTTCATTTTAAATACAGGCAGAATAAAAATCACATTTTTGTCAGGCAGCAGTAGCAGTTCAGTAGGTAAGTGGCTTGATCACATTTGTTTGTATTAGTAATGCATGCAAGCAGCTTTAGTACTGGGTCCCTCCCAACGCAGCCTCTATGGCCCCTTACAAGGTCCCTGCATAGGTGCCCTCCGGCCTTCTTGTCGCTGTGGCCGCTGGCGTCTGGGGCCTGCTGGAGCTAGCACTGCCCTGCTCAAAGGCCTGTGGGGGGCTCTGGCCATCAGTGGGCAGTGGCTCGGGGGCAGCCACCTCCTGGATAACTGAGCCAGCCCCATCCGCCTCCTCGCTGGCCTCGAAGGCTGGGTTGGCAGCGCTGAGGTCGACATTCACAGCATCAGTTCGAAGAGCCACGATGGCAGCCGCATCGTTTCGACGCTCAGCGTAGATGCGCTGCTCAAACACCTGCGCGGCGGCAGGTGGGAACTCGGGGTCCAGGGGCAGGCTGGCCGCCGAGGCACCCATGACGGTTCGGTACATCTCCACGCCCTCTGGCAACATGGACTTGATCTTGGGCAGCCAGCGCTTGCGGACACGGCGGGCATTGGTGCACATGTCCGCGGCAATTACGTTCATCTCGCTCTCCTTGAAGCTGGGGGCAAAGTTCTGACAGTATACTGTAGAGAGAGGTCGGGGGGTGGTATGAAAATAGTTTCTTCCCTTTCTGCTTGGCCCACTGCCTCCCAAGAGGCCACAGAACCAAGGTACCCTGCATGAACTTCAGCGTGGGCATGCTGGAGCTGATCTCAATTCCCACTGGCACAGGAGACCATGCTGCCACCGAGATTCCTTGATCTGAGCTACCAGACCAGCATCACTTTCTCCTTCTTCAGCCCAGGAGGCCCTGTAACCCTCTGGGATAGTCTCTGCTAGTAAGGTTGGTCAGCTTGGCTACCCACCAGGTTTGGACCTGTGTCTAACTCCTCCAGCCTCCCCACCTCCACCTGAAAATTGGAATGAGCCAGAGGGGTCATCCTCACAGGAGGAGAGCTTGTCAAGACCCTTCCTGGTCTCAGCCACAGCAAACAAAAAGGAAAGCAGGTGTCATCATCAATTTAAAAAAAAAAAAAAAAAACCCACAAAAAACAAAACCCTCTTCCATTCTCCAGAAGCCAGATGCCCCTCCCAGTACCTCTGGATTTTGGCTTGTTGCTCTGGGACGGTAATTACCATTGCTAAGGCCCCTCTGCTGTAAACAGAATTAGCCTCACCAGGGATTCTTTAAGTGAGAAAATAAAAGCATTTCTTGGGCTGATGGCCACGGGAGGCTGTGCTCTTGGCCAGTCTGGTGTGTGCCATGCAGCAGCAGCCTCTTCCACATCTGAGAGTGCAGGGCTGGGCGGTGGCTTGCCACAGAGACGGGCCGGGCTCCGCCCCACCACGCAGGAGCGGGAGGCAGAAGCCGGCCGAACAGATGGCAAAGGCTCAAAATAACCTCAACATGTAAATAAGGGGTTTTGTTCAAAAAGGAAAATTAGATCTATTTCACATATTAAAATAGTTTCGCAGCTGAATTCATCGCGCTTGGAAACCTACCAAGGACGTTCACACCTCGAGTGAGCTCTGCTTGCTGCTCTTTTCTCTTTCCTCACCCCGGTGCTGTGGGCCAAAGCCAGCCCCCAGGACGGGTGCACACGGCCCTGAGTGACCCTGGGACCTACTCAGCCTCCCTCTGGCTGGGATTCCATTCCAGCAGGAACCCCTAAGAGTTTCCCAGACCCCACCCCACTTCAGAGACTCCACCCCAACCAGAGACCCATCCCCACCCACTCACGTTTCACAGCATTCAGGACTCGGCTGTCCAGTGGCTTTCGGCTCGGGTCACTGGTGGATGAGCGGATGCCGGTGCCACAGCTATTGGCCAGTGTGTTTCTGGATTCAGGGTAAGGAAAGGAGGCAGAGTGAACTTGTGGGGTTGTTGGCCCATAAATGACCCAAGGAATGGGGTTCCTCCACCCACACACCAGGTGAAAGAGCCCAAATTCACCCCTGACAGGTACCTAAGTCCTGAGTCACAGCCAGTGTTGGGGAGTTGGGGCAGGGGGCAGGCCCAGTCTTCCTCTAAGGGATAGGATGTGGGCAAAGTTTTCCAGCTAAGTAGGTAACCTAAGTGACCAGCCAGGAAGCTGACAGGTCCAGACACTGTCCACCGGAACTGTCCACCACACTGTCCCAGGTCACTTGAGCAAGCTACTTCCCCTTGGGGAAAGGGCTCTGCTGATCCATCTGCCTGGTGGGGTACACCCAGCTTTTTGCTTTGTTTGGGGAGGGGGACACAAGCCAGTCCATCCCCAGACTGAGGCCTGGCATAAGAGAGTGTTGGTACCTTCCTGGAGCCTCTCCTCCATCCCTGAGCTGAAGGGCATGTTAGAATCAGGAGAAAGTAGAGGACTGTAAATGCTGAAATCCTTGATGACCAGACAGCTCACAGGTAGAGGAAAGTCTAGATGCTCTGGAGCCCCCTCCTGCCCTTCCACTCCACCTACCTATCAAAGAAGGTGGCCAGGAGCCTCCGGAGCAGGACCTTGTGCTTCACCCCTGCACACAGGTGGCAGTTCATGAGCTGACCACGGGTGATGTAGACCCCAGAGCCTGCAGCCACAAACATCAATGTATGAGGTCTTTGGGATTATATCCCAAACCCTCTGAGGGGACCAGCATGGCCAGAGGAACAGTGAGAGGTGAAGAAGTCCCTCTAGGATAAGAGAAATCTTAGAGCCCATCTGCTGGAAGACACTAGGGCTGGAGGACGTTATGGTCAAGCCCCTCTTCTCTCAGACCCCCATTCACAGCTGTGACCCAGCAGGGTTGAGGAAAGCTGTGGCACCCCCCCCCATTACCAATGTGTCCCCAGCTTCCCTTGCTATGTTGAGCCCTGTGGACAGGATGTGGCCACCTCAGCCCTTGCTACCTTCCTCCTTAGGAACAGGCTTCTTAGGGCTGGCTCTGGCTCTGCCTTGCTACCCCGTCCCTTCCCAGATTCCCAAACTCTTGGGATGTGGGTGAGCAAAGGACTGAACCTAGAGCAACTGGAGTCCACCAGGACATCAGAGAAGCCAGAATCTGGACCTCAAGATGTTACCCAGGATGAGGCAGTAAGGGGTGTCAGATGCAGACAGAAGCAGGATGGGGTGGCTCAGGGAGGCAGGGCTTAGAAGCAGAACTGAGCAACATGCCCAGCCTGTGTTTGGAACTTTCCAGGCAAACAGAAAGAAGCTATTGGACGGACGCATGCAGTGAGGGTCAATAGGTCATCCCTTTCTATCTTTTTGTTGAGTTGCCTTAAAACTTGCGAAGTGCAAGATGAACTCCAGCCCTAAAGGGACAATATCTCTGACAAAGGTACCCACTTGAAGGCCTCTGGATTCAGGGGCCGGACTGTGAGCTGTCATTCAGATAGTGGACACTGGGGTGAGACTTTGGTAAACTACGTGACTTGGTGCTATCTATGACCTGAATTAGAACACACTGTAGACATAGCCCCTGCCAATCAGGAGCTTGGCCAGCCCAGGGGACTCAATTAAAATGCTAAATTAATTCAATTGAATAACTCCTCTTAATGACACATTCTTCTAAAAGGAAATTAGGGGAAATTTAAGATGCTCTTTTTTTTTTGACTGATTGGTGATGAGTGCATTGTTCACAGCTCTGAAAAATAACACTGAGGACATTTGCATACAGTGATGGGTAGGGGCACCTCACCTGCCACCAGCTCCAGCTTCTCACCAGGGTCTCCCTCCGAGTAGAGCTTGGGGTGGCAGCGGTACCCAATTTGGCTGATGAGACTGGCAGGCAATGCCACCAGGTCGCGGCGGATGAGAACGCAGGAGCGGCTCTCCAGTGGCACGGGCTCAGGCTTCTCTTGTACTGCAGCAAAGAACCGACCTGGTTAGGTGGGAGTCTAAGGGCTAAGCTAGGCTACTCTGTACCGGCCTGCACTCTTCCCCAAGGCCCATGTTAGAAGTGCTCACTTCAGTCTGGGGCCAAGCTGGACCCATGGCGGTCAGCCCCCTACCCCTGCAGTGTGTCCACCTCCACACCCAATCCTGTCCTACAGATGCTGGACAAAAGGAGTAAGGGGATGGTCATTGAGGAATACCCACCCAGGTTGGGGAGCAGGTTTCCCAGGGTGAGTGGTGGCTCCCAGAAAGTATCCACCCAAGGGGCTACAAGCCAGGTAGGGATGAGGCCTGAAGGGAAGACTGGAGGGTAGGTGTTGGAAGCAGGATGCAGGACAGTCTGGCCAGAGGCTTAGAGCTGTAGATGGAGCTGGGGGCCAGCAGCGTCCACCATTCAGAGCACGGAGTTGCCAGCTTTGCTGTCAGGAAAACTGATGGAAGGAGACAGACAGGGAGCTGGAAGAGGGTCCCAGGCAGTGGGCCCCCCAGATTCTCCTCACAGTGGCTCTGTGCAAGAGGCAGTCAGGCATGACTAGTCTCATTTGGCAGATGAGGGGATGCGGGGTCCTGGCACAAGGAGCTGCTCCTAAATATTTGTCAGCGGTAGAGCCAGGCAGCCTGGCGTCACTACTGTCTGGGAATGTTCTGGCAAACCACTGCTGGCACAGGCTCGCTCTGTACCTGCAACTCTGAGGTTGTACCCATAACACTGCCCTGAAGAGGTGGCCTCTGAGCACAGTGTCATCCACAGATCTCAGGACACCTTACTCAACGTCAGCATCCAGCAGGCAGAATGAGGATTTCCTTCTAACAGTCAGACAGCCTGGGCCGAGACCCCTTGTCTAACAGTCACTTGCCAGGCAGCCTAGTGCTACAAGGTCAAGGAAGGCTGGTGGTCCTGACCCCAACCCTGCCCAGTCTTGCCTCAGTCCTCTCACTTCCCCTCTGCCTCTCTGTCCCTGTCCCAGGAGGCCTTGCAAATGGCCAGTCCGAGTTCTGTGCTCCCATAGGTCACACACATAGCCACCATTCCCAGACAGACGGCACAGGTATCCTGCCTGTGTCTGCAGCACACAGGTGAGGTCCCGAGAGGGCTACCTGTCTCTGCCCAGCTGTCCCATTAAGAACTCCCACCAGCTCCAGGCATGCCTCTGCTTTGCAGGCCTGACCTTCCCTAGCGTCCAAGGTCTGCACGTTGGACCCAGTCCTTGGGTCGCTCAGGGCTGGGTCTTTGTTCGGGAAGGGTGGTACTTCCCTTAACAACCTTAGTAGGGTTGGAAGCTCCCAGGTGTATAGTGGAGGTATGGCACCTAGAAAGCTAGAACCTGCTGGTCCTGCAGGTTCAGAGCAGGTGGCCCAGTGCAGGTGGCTCAGACTTAGATCTAGCCCTGAGGGAGCACCAAGATCAGACACAGCTGCGCCTGGCTGCATCAGTTGGACCAGTGCCCTGTCCCTCTGCACCATGATTACACCATAGGTAGAGACTCACAGTACTTCTCCACAGAGGGTGCTGTGCAGGGGCCCCAGGAGGGCAGGTGACGGGGGTGGGGGGTGTTGGGGGGTGGGCAGTATCCTGTAAGTCATTTTGACACTCAGCTCCCTAAGGGGCTGTCAGGGCCACTTAGCCCTGAGGGCCAAACATCTGGGTAAAGGAGAGGGAGCGACCACCCACAGCCTAAAGAACAGTGAGTCGCCATGAAATAATGCAGGAGGGGCTGGCCCAGAGGACCAGGTAGGGGCAGGGAGGTGAGCCCACCTGAAGGGCGGGGTAAGTACCACTCAACCTGCCAACTGACCTGCCATCTAACTGCAGCTGAAGTGGTGGAAACAGAGTGCCTCTCAAAGTCAGCAGACTGTGTGAGTACACAGAAAACAGGAAAGTAGGAGCCGCTAACGGGGATGTAGGTCCCCCTTCTGGCACCAGTTGGTGGCCAGACAGGCCAGGTGGCATTTCCCATCGGACAGAGTAACGGAGAATCTTTACAGCCCGGAATTACCCAGGGAACACAACGAGAAACAATCCGGATGATGGTATTTTAAAACATAATTACACCCCCCCCCCCCC